GATGTAGTTTAAAATCTTGCCCAGGATAAATATATACATATTTAAATTACCATACACGTTGCCATTATCAGGTAATACCTCAGACGTGAGGCTGAGTTGGTGCCAGGCTTTTACGACCGTATGCCCTTACTGACGTCAACCAAACATTTTATGTGGGAAGTTGGCACCCAAGGCTGACAGGTGGTACACTTTACCCAAGGGTGACCTGGGGGTAGTTGTGGCAAAGGGTAACCTCATTCTCCCAAGTCCATAGACTCCACAACCGGATGTAGTTTAAAATCTTGCCCAGGATAAATATATACATAATTAAACCATACACGTTGTCTTTATCAGGTAATACCTCACATTTTAGGTTGAGTTGGTGCAAGGTTTTTATGACCGTATGCCCTTACTGACGTCAACCAAACTTATTATGTGGGAAGTTGGCACCCAAGGCTGACAGGTACTACACCTTGCCCAAGGGTGACCTGGAGGTAGTTGTGGCAAAGGGTAACCTCATTCTCCCAAGTACAAAAACTCCACAACCGGATAGTATAATTCACTCAAATTTGAATATGTAGCAATTTGAGTGAATGTAACAGTATTTTCAGCGGGGAAATATGGATCAAATTAGTATTTTTTAAGAGCATCATATTTCTACGTTTTTCTTGCGCTTTTATAGCTATTTTATACTTGTTTCGGCCCACGTGACCTCCGATGTGAGCGAAACTCCCAAAACTGTGATTTTAGAATAATCGTCCGCCCTCCTGAATTCCACATAGACAACTGCTTTTATATCGCGCTAAAAAATAATCCCACGTGATTCTGGTGGGATGTGACGTTTAAATATGGTCATGAGCAACAGCCCGAGGGCAGACAACAAATTGTGATATTGACCAAATAACCATGTGTTATTTATTTTATCACATCCAAACAGACATCATCCATGCACAATCACATCTACCATACATCACTCACACCCGCTCTCCCACAAATATAGGCAATATTCTATTTTATCTATTATAACAAGTTTCACACTACATTATTTGCTGAAAAAATGTGAAATACACTCAGTAAATGTTATTTTCAGCCACGGATACTCTTTTTAGTAACCGTGTTTCAGCAGTGTGAATCACTCAATTTATCGAGAATAACATTTCATTTTGAAATGAATTAAGAAATTCTCAAACGCAAGCTATTTGATCAATCTCAAGATAAAAATGCTAGAGTGCCGTAGAAGTGACTGAATTTACTTTCGCACAGCTTTAGATCGTTTTCGGTTAGCATCGGCGTGGAACGCTCACCGCAGCGACCCCGGTTGTGCAAACTTTGCCGTACATTTATGCTTCATATAAAAATACCCTAAATTAAAATAGAGTATCTTACTTAATATCCATTCTGGCACGTTCGCTGTCTATTTCGGATTGCTAAAGTTCCGTTAAAACCTTTAAAGGAACCCCGAAAACTACAGCGGCAGGGGGCAGCACCAGCCTGAGTGCAGCGAACGACAATTTGTTATGCGCAGTATCGTTGCGTAGTAGTTTCGGTGACGTCATCCATGTGATATACCCATGTAATATCCATTTTTATTCAATGTCATGTAATTGAGTCTCAACCAATCACAGCCTGTATAACAGCAGTGAGATGTGATAAATTCCTATGCGCAGAGTATATTGAAAGACTCTGATAACAAATATTCCTGCCTCTAAATCCATACACCAACTTTTGAAAACCGGGGATGAAAGAAGAATTTTAATCAGTCCATTGTTTCCTAACACTGAGGTCAGAACCACTTTTCAACAACAAACAACACCCAACGCATCAATATACCACGGTGAAGAAACGATGTGATATTACAATAAACCTACCATTATGGTTTATCCAAGGAAATGTTTTTCCCATGCTTTAGCTTTAGTTTTCACCGCATATGAAAGCAATTTTATTTCTGTGATTGATATTAATTGCCTTGTTTTATGCTTGATTTGGTTTCTCCGTGGACGTCAGTGCACATTATTTTTAGACTGGAGATAAACAGGATCTGTGTGTTCGATAAGATTATCCATGATGAATGTGGTGTTATTCTCTCTCCTTGACGGTGCGCTTGATGATTATCTGGCGGAAGAATTTGATTGAACATGGGAATATAGACAAATATCTTCGTTGTTCCTCACAGCACGATGGAAGATGCCGGGTTTTTTTGGGTTTCTTTTTGTATTGAAACTTTACGCATATCATTTTTGTTCCCAATTCGGTCAAAGTTGATATTGCACGTATACATACTCACGGATTTCGAGTTATTGCAAACTGAAATATTATTCTTGCAACACAATAAATAGAGTTCATTTGTTCGGATAAAAAATACACATGTATATGTGAATTCGCATGTGCTTTGAATTAATAGTGTGTACCAATGAGGTCAAAGCGCATGCGCCTTATGTGTAGAATAGAAATGTCCATATTGGAGCCACTTTAAGCTCTCGCATCTATTCCCCCTGCAACTTCTGGGTTAGTCCGCCATTACAAAACTTGTACATCGACCATGTATTTATGGAGCACATGTGGAGTGTTAGTAGGCTAGCGGGGTTCAAAGTTTCTTGCATACTTAAGGTAGCGAGAAGGTTTTGTGACGTTTTTAAATAAAACATTCTCTGTCTGTTGTCTCGTTCAAAATAGTAATTTAGGTTATATATATCAAAAGACTAAGTATAGAGGTGCAAGTTCGCACAAACTGGACAGACATTGTTTACATAATTATCACGTGACATCAAAAATGGCGAACCTTGTAAAAATGACTAAGTACGCGATTGCGAGAGCACACTGCGGAATTTCCTGGTGAAATTTAAGTTATGCATTGTCCGTAATCAAGTCCATTGAAATGTGTCTCCGATAATCAAAAGACCTATTATTCCGATTTCTATGCAGGTTTGTTTTT